ACCTCATTGGATCAAACGCTTGTCATGGTCTGGTGGTTGTTGGACGGAAGCACCCTTTTACCCGCTATCCTCCCCTCCCTGGCCCCTCAGACTCATACATGTCTACATGGCTCCCTCTGTCAGTCAGATGACTCAGTCAGGTGTGCAATTACCCCCAAATCACTGCCTCCCACCACCACCCCGGGTCAAAGCTCCAGGATGGGAGCCAGACTCTGATAGTATGCAGTAACAATATCTGCACTTTCCACATAATGGCCGTGCTTAAAAGTAGCCTCTGTTCGAAATGCTTGGGGGAGGTGCGGGGTAGTCTGAGCCCTGAGAGGCCCCCTCAGGTAATGCCCTGGGACACCTGATACAGGTAAAGCCTCACATACTTCCCCTTCATTGTCTTCATCTCTTCCCTTTCCTCTCCCTGTGACTGCAGGTATGCACCATGTGTCGGTCGGAAAGAGAGGCTGTTGGAAAAACTACCAGATCTCTCTTCTATGTTTTTTACAGCACTGCAGGTCAAACTCAAGAGCAGGGAGGTGCAATCTCCACCAAATTCACACACAGCTCACATCCAGAGTAACGTCAGCCCTTCCCGTCTCCACTTTGGGAAAATATGTAAATATTTCCGCATATCTCAAAACTAAATGAAGTGGTCGGTTTTCACTCTGAAAGCTGATTATCCTCAACTCCCCTCACACAGAAAACAAGTGTAAGTAATAGGAAACATACTTGTTTTGTCTGACTGTGCTTTTGCCCATCTGCTGCATATGGGAACCTTGTTAAACGTTTTGATAGCTCTGTACTGACATGTGTTGTAGAAAAAAAGAAAGACACATGAATGAAGGAAAGTTTAATTCCTTGGGAATGACTAGGCGATAGTATATTCTTTAAGAGTGGTTGTCGGTGAGGGGTGGTGAAGTGAAAGGAGGGGTTTTTGACTCACCGACCCATAGAGCTCTCCTTTCTCATTCATGCCGAGGTAGAGTCCAGCGTCCACCCCTCTGATGCTCACCAGACCTACTGCTATACTTATGAACTCCAGGATACCTGAGGTCAAACACATAACATGGAAACACTGGTGAGACAAGCCCACAAACTCAGTGTGATCACCCCTAAAGAACGCAAGCAGGTGGCCTCTTTTAATCTGACTGCAGACCAGTCCTTACTGTCATTTTATGCAAAATCCTGCAGCTATTCCAGACTTCATTTGAAAATTTGCCGTTTTAAGGCCATTAAGCAATCGAAGGGCTGCCTCTCCTTCTACCTATGAGATTTTTAATAGCTTATAAATGCGCTCATCCTGTCTTTGGGACTTCCCCCGCAGGCTGTGAAGTCGCTTTTATGAAGCTGAGACGTGGGTTACTTGTTTAGTGAACCGCTGACTCGGAGGAAGTTACAATAAAGCGAACATCTACATCAAAGGCTGGGAAACAACTGGTAAAATTAAAAGCCACTGTTGATGCGGAGGTTAGTCAGAGAGGATCCAGCTGCCTGTGCTGACTGGCAGAGAGGCCAGCCTACAGCCACCTGGTCCCCATCTCCGCGACTTCATCCCATGTCAGAGGATGACATAGAAGATCCTTCTCATTTATTTATTTGAAGAGGGGTGTGTCCCATACCCCTGTAATCAAAACCACGCAGTTCTCACAAAGATCTTTGCACTTTAAATCTAAGCGAAGCCAGAAACAAACACGCGGACCACCCATGTCTCTAAAACCGGCTCGTTTTGGCTCAAGTTTGAACATTAAACCTTCTCTGAATTCCGCAGTGGTCACGCTTTAATTTAGAGATATTCCGCCTTTCCCCCCCTTACCCGTTTTCGCCCGGCCTGCACCTGTGACGAGTCTGCGCGAGACATGTGCGAGTCTGCCCTCTGACCTCGTTTGATTCGCGTGTCGCGCGAGCCGCACACAGTTTTTCAACCTTCTATTTGTAAAGTTAATACAAACATAATAAAAACAGGCCACGAGACTAGAATTAAATCAAGTACTGTTATTTTTTTTAATGATATCATATACATACCTGTGTTTCCTGCTGTGAAATAACGTCTGTTAACGAGAGAAAACCCTCTGCGCGCGCGAGAGCCTGCGAGCCTGTTGTTGCTGTCGCTGCAGGACGCGCGCGCTCGCTGCTTGTTTGCGCCTGATTAGAGACACCTGTGGCCCACGCGCAGCGGGGATTGCCAGAAAAAGGTGTGTGCCCTCGCGCCAGGTGACAGTGACGCACGAACGAGTATTCACCGGGGACGCTCAGAAGAAACTTCTTGATAAAACCCCTTCTTAACCGGGTATATATGTATGGGGGAAAGTTGACCCCTTTCTCATTTACAGTTTTGGAGATAAATGGGGTATTAAAAATAGTTCGGTAAAGATTAAAATGAAATTCTGTCTCCAAATAATAGATCAAAGAATAAAGAAATACTGACCAAACCTGCTGTGGTCCTGTCTTGTCCCGTGCACTGTGCCATTGGGGAATATCTCTAGCTGGAAGCCGGTCCTGCAGTAGAGCTGCCGCCGCCTCAAGATCCCTTTGAGGTGGCCGAAATCTGTGGGCGACCCGCGCTGCACTCTGCCTTCAATCTGCCCCAGTCGCTCATTCAGCCCTATGGGGGACTCTGTTACGGGCATAGTCCCCACCGAAGAGAGAGTGCTTTGTAAATCCAAGCCGAGCGTCCCCAGAACACTCACGACCTCTGCCATTGTGTGCACAGCTGTCAAATTAAACGACGGTATTTTGGGATGTAATCGGTAAATTCAGGAAGGAGAGAAAAGTTCACAGAAGTCCGGTCCATGCACGCCAAAAAGCGTACCACGCAGCGCGCCGTTGCTCCTCCAAATCAGCGCAGTCCTCTCAGTTTATTGATGGTGCTTTGCTGCAATCATGAGTTTGATATCTGTGTTTATCAAATAGAAAGACTCTATTATATACATGCTCCCCACGCATTCTCACATTGGATATTCAGACACAAGCCACGCCTGGCTGGCATCCCTTCTTACGCGCATCAGTTTGCTTTACTTAATGTGCACTTTCAGTCCAACTTTTTTTTTTCTTCTTTCTCTCTACTTGTGATGGTGCCGCTGTCCGTGCGTGCGTGTCTCTGCCCTCTCAGAGAGCCGTATCTGATCCTCCGATCAAATAAATCCTGGTCAAGAAGTATCTTCTTCGCGTAGTTCCCCCGTTTTGCGCTCCGTGGCTTTCGGATAAAGCCGCACCGCTTGTTTCAGGGCAGCAATGTCTGGTAAAAGTTTGTGGAGCGGAATCAAAGATCACCATGGCCAAAAGACAAATGACAGCTGGCGTAAAGCCGAAAATGCACCATAAGTTGTGAGAACTACTTCACCACAAAGCCAATCCATAATGTATACTGACTGGGTTTTGAGTCACACCACAGACTC